TATTTTTTACAGAACATTTCATACAGTTGCAGTTTCTTACCGAACGCAATCTGCTACATTGACCACATGAAGATGCTTGGAAGTAGCTAATGCCTTAAGAGCCAGATCAGTCATTCTGGGGCAGTCCACAAGGTACACGTGTTCAAGCAGAGGACAGCTTCTGGCCAACACTTTAACTGATGCATCAGTGAGACGATTGTTTCCTTGGAAGAAAAAAAAAAAGACAAAAAAAAAGACAAAGGATGTGACAATGAATTCTGAGTCGAAGGAGATCTAGGACTGCTTTGTTTTATTTTACTTCGCCCTTTGATTGGTCCAGAAAACTCATATCATCCTCTCAACCAATCAGATGCAAAACTACAACCAATCACATCGGCTGGTCACCCGCGTATTCCCGCGCTTTTATTCTGCGTTTCCTATTGGCTCCTCATTCCCCCTTAGCTTTGAGTGGCGAGTGTGATCACTTATTCGTAACTCAAAGTAAAAGCAAGCAGACTGAAGCGTGGGAAAACGCGACTGACCAAGTCGCATTCGGTGCTTAGTCTTGCATCTGATTGGATCAGATGGTGACGCATTTTTTCTTGACCAATCACTGAACGAAGAAAAGCAATTCTGGATAATTTAGTAAGAGCTTGAAGGCTGACGTTTCGAGCGTTAGCCCTTCGTTAAAGCGATAGAACACTGAATGACAATGCTACTCTGGATTGTTATGCGTACTCAATTAGAAATTTCTCTAAAATGAAATGATTCACTGAATGACAGATTGAACTCACCTTCGACTCTAATCTTGTTAAGTTTCTTACACGATGCCAGGCATTTGAATGCAGCATCCGATAAGAATGGCGAGTTCATGATAGAAACGTTCTTCAATGTGCGACATTCGGATGTCAATGCCTTCAATATGCGAAAGAAATGAAGACAGTTTTGTACATATCAAAAAAAAGATTTGAATCGTGTGCACAAGTAACGTTCAGTTTAAATACCTGTATACACCCGTCCCTCAATCCTGGCAGCTGATTCAAAATAATCGTTGTCAAAGTACCACAACCCATGGAAATATATTTGTAGCCTTCCTCTGTTATCTGAAATTATTTTGAACAAAATTAGAAAGAATTCTTAGTGGATTTGAAGGCGCTTTCTGCCAACTATCGTAACACCACACACCTTTGCAAATGCCGTTAGGTGCTCTTAGTAACGATGAAAATGGAGAAATCTGACAGGGATCACTTGAAAAATTTTGGATAAATTTTACAATGTTGACAAAGCTCCCACGACATCGCCCGTACACCGACCCCGAGGAAAACGTGTAATTTCAATTGGCAAAGATGTAAATCGTTACTTGTTTATTGAGTTACTCACTTTTCTATCGTTAGATGCATAATCAAATTGCCAGAAATCACAGTGTCGCTGAGTTTTCGATCTCGAGGGTTAGTAAGAGGTAAGGTGTTTAAAATGATCCAGTTTTTGGTTATAAAAAATGACCTACAACGTATTGAGTATTGAGTATTAAGTAATTGGATTTTCATTCGAGATTCCAGATTTCTGTCGCGTGATAGTTGACGAAAGCGAAGCTCGATACTAGCGGTTCAAAATTAGCAACAAGGCAGATCGATGTTTTCATTTTATTTTGTTTACAACCACACACCGTTAGGCTTCTCGCAGCACACTGTCTGTACTTAATAAATAGCAACGCGAGAAGACAATAAGATTGCACCATAAGCGATAGAACGCCAGTAGATTTATATAACCTCGTTTACTTGTTTTAAACCCCAGTTTCTTTTAATGAATAACAGAGTCAAAAGGCTTAGATAAATTACTAGAGTATGATAAAAAAAAGCGACGAAAACGGGAACATTCCAAGACCACAGAGAGCGTAATTTCATAGGTACAAACTGTTTGAGTAAAACAATGAAAAGGTTAGTTTTGAAACACATAAAGTGTTCGCATATCTGTAATAGTTGTTTCTAAACATTCGTCTATAGTTTAAGCCCCACATTTAGCTTCTACCCATAATCCTTTACAACCTAACATCAGTATGCATATTTTCCACAATTTTTCTCAATAGATTGCGTAAGGTGCTGATAAGGAGAATTTGGGTAACAATTATGACCTTCTTTAGTTAGTAATCATATACTTTACTCTCCTGGCCTTAAAGTGCGATGTGGGGAGAAACTAGGAGTTAAAGGTTAATGGCGAAGTCTCCGGAAGGTGAGAGTTGACCGTGGTAAAAATTTCGATTAATACATTTTATTTTTGATCTACATAGCCTAGTTACTTTCATATCGTTTACAACTATTGTGCTAATTGGTTAACTAAGTAATATTTAGCAGCTGAAAGGGAGAATTTCTTATTAGATCTTGGTAGCAAAGTGTTTGTACCCAAGCCGTATAACCCCAGAACCTTGAAGGTTTTAAAAACCTTCGAGATTCTTGGGTTCTGGACGGCAGGGGTAAGTACAACTAGGAAA